CTTCGGGCATCAGCATATGACTTGATTTGACAAGCGACCGTCTAGTAGGATTCCAATGACCCGTCATGCCCTCTGCGCAATGCGTCGGCCATTCATGTCTGCACATTAGTGTGGCGCCTAAATTAGCTCTGGGAGCGGAAACGCAGCCAACACATCCTTTGATATCGGTAGAGCCTGGTTCCTAAGCTTGGGAACCAGCCCAGGCTGTGGGAGCTGCGATGAGACCGCAACTGTGACCGTGAGGGACTCATTGCGCAGCCCAAGGACGATATAAGAGGGGAAGGGTGCGAACAGAGGGCCATCAATCATCCGTTCCCGCCCCCTCTCTCGGAGCGGCGGACCTGTAGCGTTGTGGCTCTACCGACGTTTCCGCTTTAGGCAGCGCGTGCGGACCATCCGATTCCATCACTGGCCAACACCAAGGGCGTGACAGCATCCCAGCCCATGGACGCCGAGCTCAACGAGAAATTCTACGACGACGCCGAGACCGAGTTCGTCTCCGAGCTCACAGGTATCAGGGATCCGGTGGAGTTGAAGAAGCATGTTCTCCAGGTCCAGCGCGAGATTTATGCGGTGAGTACTCTTTAATCAACCATCGACGCTTCGGAGCCTGGCCCGGGATCTCCATTGGAAGAAGGATTAATTAAAGGCAAAAAATTTCGAACGGTAGATCCATCCGTATCCGTGTATTCGGGTCTGCGGCTTTGTAGAGTGGGTCTCTGCCATAAAGCGACTGCCTTGCCGCTTGCTAATTGCGAGTTCGAACGTCTGCCAGATCGAGAATATCTCGCTTTCCCGCATACCAGAACCTCCTGCAGCTCGGAAGGGAACGCACAGGCGCACTGTTTCTCGACATTGGCTGCGGTGTTGGCAATGACGCCAGGAGGGCCGTTTTGGATGGATTCCCAGCCAACCAGATCGTCGCCTCGGATCTCCATCCCGGTGAGTGCACCCTAGATCATCTCGCAGCTCCGAGACATTTGGCTGAGCGTGTGCACGACAGAATTCTGGGACATGGGCCACAAGGTGTTCAAGTCTACGCCTGAGTCGTTCCCGGTCAAGTTCGTCCCCGGCGACGTTTTCAGCGACGCCTTCCTCGCGCGCGGCGACCCCGCTGCCACTCTGGAGGCCACGAACACCCCGGCGGCAGGAAGCGAACGGTCAGTGGACCTGTCCGCCCTGACTTCGCTCACCCCGCTCCGCGGGAAGCTGTCGGTGATCTACGCCTCGTCACTATTCCACCTCTTCGATGAGGAACAGCAGAGCGAGCTCGCGCATCGCATCGCGTCACTGCTTTCACCGGCACCAGGCTCGTTTATCTTCGGGGCGCACGTTGGGAAGCTCGAGAAGGGCCTGTTCGTCGACCATGCGACTCCTAACGTCCCTGTGGGCACGCTCATGTTCTGTCACAGTCCCGAAAGCTGGGAGGCGCTTTGGGAAGATATTTTCGGGGAGGGCAAGGTCGAGACGAAGGCCGTGCTGGTGGAGGTCCAGCGGCCAGACATGCCGGAGGGCACGACGTCGCAATTTATGGTCTGGTCCGTCAAGCGACTATGAACGTCGGGCAGTCTTCGAGTCCACCCTAGAGATATGTCATGCCGGTTAGCTCCTCGAGACCAGCATCTGCGCACAGTTACTTGTACAGGCATCAGCTTGAGACTTGATTTAACAAGCCGCTGTCTAGTAGGGTTCTCATGGCTCGTCGTGCCCTCTGCGCGACTCGGATACATCGGCTCTCCAAGTCTACACATTAGCGTGGGCCCCTAAACTAGTTCTGATAAACATATTGTGCGTAAAAATCGTCAGTCGGAATGGCATTCTTTGATACCGGCGGGACTTGGTTCCTGAGCTTGGGAACCAGTCTGCCAGGCAGCCCAGGCTGTGGGAGTCGCCAGGCTACGAGCCGCGATGAAGCCGAAACTGCAATCGTGAGGGACTTATCGCACAACCGGGTGATATAAGAGAGGAAGGGTGCGAACAGACGGTCATCAATCATCCATT